GAGGAGGAGGAGGAGGAGGAGGAGGAGGAGACTGGATTTATACCCCACCCTTCACTACCCAAAAGATCCTCAGAGCGGCTTACAATCCCTTTCCCTTTGTCTCACCACAACAGACACCCTGTGAGGAAGGTGGGGCTGAGAGAGCTCTCTCAAGCACTGCCTTTGAGAGAACAGCTCCGAAAGAACGTGTGACTGCCCCAAGGTCACACCAGCAGCTGCTTGGGGAGGAGTGGGGGAATCAAACCCAGTTCTCCCAGATCAGAGCCCACGCTCCTAACCACTACGCCAAAGAGGAAGTGGCATCACTGTATCCGGGAGATGATCTAGGATTCTTCCCGAACTCTATGGTTTAACCAGAGAGTCTGGGGTGAATCTCACAGCATTGCCTGACACAGTGATGCCACTTTGAATTCGGTGCTGGAAATGGTGTCTGAGACTGGCACAGTATTGAATGCTTTATTCTCACCCCCCAAAAAAATTCTCTTGCCACATCGACAGCCCTATACTGCATCTAAGGTGATAGGAAAAAGCTGGGAGCTTCCCTGCTCCTCATTGACCATACTGCATCCAGACTACAAAGTGATCCTCCATACCAGCTACACCAGACCACCAGGGCAAAGCCGGGCACCGCCGTGCTCCTTTTCATTGTCCATAATGCAAAATATGGGTCAGGCTCGGGAACAGGTGGCCCACTGGGATTTTTCCCCTCCCCTGGGAAAGTTAATGACCAGTCTGTCCCTGCACTGCACTGCACAGGCACACAATTTGCAAGGCACACAATTTGCAAGCCTCCCATTCAACACTGGCAAACGCCCGAAGATTCGTGAAGAGGGATGTTCGCAAAACTGCGAATGTGATTTCGGGATGAGCATGAAAGTGGCTGCCAATTGCTAGCCTCCAGATTGGCGCTCAGCGGCAGTTCTGCTGAGCTCTGTAAACGACTAAGTGGCACCTCGATGCCTCTCTGAGGCTGGCCAAAGGGGTTCTACAACCTATCATAAGAGAGATGCATTGATGTCTGGTCCCCATTCTTCCCCCCCCCCCCCAAGATCAGATCTACGTGTTAGTATCAGCCTTACAGGACCTAAATGATGGTATGCTAATGAGCGACTAGGCTATTAGCATAACATATCATTAGCATATCCAACGCCCCCTGACATCACCGGAAGGGATGTCAGAAGGGGAAACAAAAGGGGGGGAAGGCATCTTCAAAAGCCTCCCCTTCCCCAGTGTTGGGCAGCAGAACCCCTTCTCACTAGAGTTGGGCAGCAGAAGGAGGAAAGAGGGAAGGAAAAAGGGAAGGAAAGAGAGAGAGAGAGAGTAGAGAGAAGGAACGAAGGAAGGACGGGAAAGAAAGAGAGAAGGGAAGGAGGGAATGAAAGAAAGAGAGAAGGAAAGGAGGAAAAGAGAGGAAGGAAGGAAGGAAGGAAGGAAGAGAATGGAAAGAGAAAGAAAAGGAGGAAAAGAAAAGGAAAGGGGGAGGAAAGGAGGGAAAGAAAGAGGGCAAAGAGATGGGGGGAGGGGGAGGCTCTCCCATCCCCCCCACTCCCCCAATCAAGCCTCCATCTCCTCGTGGATCCCTCACTTACCCAGGGAGGCAGCAGAGGGCCTCTTCTGGCCTTCCCCCGGGCCACAGCGCTCCAGCGTGGGCCCCGGGAGGTGGCAATGAGTTTCCTCCATCCTCCCCGGGGCTGCAGCACTCCGGCGCAGGCCCCAGGAGGTGGCGACGAGTCTCCTCCGGCTTCCCCGGGGCTGCAGCGCTTTGGCGCGGGTCCTGAGAAGATGGCAACAGGCCTCCTTGGGGCCACAGCACTCCAGCGCGGACCCCCGGAAGGCGGCAACAGGCCGTAGCATGGGGAGTTGGGGGTGGGGCTTGCTGCCACCGCCATTTTGCCAGCTCCTGGGCTCCTGGAGCAGCAGCACACTCCGGCCCCAAAAGACCCCTGACTACCTTAACATTGGATTGAGGTGGATTTGCTTGCGAGGCCTCCCCCTCCATCTCCGGCGATAGCAGCAAGGTTCGTGCCGTGGTTTCACCTCCTGGGAGACGTGGTGCTCCAACTGCAGAGTTACGATGCGAAGGCGCCCCCCCCCCCGGTTCAGCTGGGCCTTGGAGCTCGGAACGGAGGGGTGTATGCCTCATGTCTTGCAGGACGTTTCACTTTTAGTAGAACACTAACAACCCTGGCTGGCTGGGACTGACCAACAGACCCTGAGCAGGGGCTGTTGGTGGAAGCCTTTGAGCCAGGAAAGGAAGATCAACGACCTGGTGTAGAATTGAGCACCCACCCACCCCTTTGAGAAGGAGTGCGAAAGTTTCTGGGCTCCACCTTCAACTTGCAAACTTGCCACTTTGTGATTTTGCTGGGATATAAGGCAGGGAAGTGGTCTTTTAATCCACCTGCTAGGTTTATATAAGATTAGGATGCAATGGCTAATTATAATAGTTTATGTTAGGTCTTCCCACCCTTTAATGTCAGTCACTAGAATAGAGTAGTTTAATCTTGCTGGGGGAGGGAGTAGCAAGAAGGGAGGTTGGGGTGGATAGGGTTGTTTTTTGTATTGCATTCTGTGGTCTATTCAGCTGCAAAGGCAGCTGAAAAGTCTAACAGTGCCAGAAGGGAAACATTTCCCTTACCAAGCTGCAAACAGAGATAGTCCACCAGAGGGACCCATGTGGCCACTGCCACTGTTTCATAGCCAGTCCAGAAGCCTGACTGAAAAGGGTTCAAAG